AATCCAGTGACCTAAGTGGCCCTGCCCTGGTGAACCACCTAAGGCTCTGATCTTCCACCCAGCTGCGAGAAACAGCAGAGGGGGCCGCCATTTACCGGCTCTGACCCTGCCTCCACATACAGAGTCACAACCCAGCGACCTGGGAATCCAAGGGTCCGCTCCTCATCCTTAACAGGCGAGAACAGACCAAAAATGGCTCAAGAAGAGCTCAAAGCCCCAGAGCCTATAAATCTAAGCGATGAAGAAATAGCAAAACTCTCAGATGCACAGTTCAAAACACCGGTGATCAGGATCCTCACAGAACTGGTTGATTATAGCCACGAATTAGACAAACATATGAAGGCGAAACTAATTGAAATGAATGGAATTGCACAGGAAACCAATAGCGATGAAAAGGAAACTGGGACTCAAATCAATGGAGTGGACCAGAAGAAAGCAAATAATGGCCAAACAGAAAAGAGTCAAGAAGCAAGAATTCAAAGAAATGAGGAGAGTCTTAGGAACCTCCAGGACATCTTTAAACGCTCCAACATCCGAATTATAGGGGTACCAAAGGGGGAAAGGCACAGCCACCAGTGGAAAACTTGTTTGAACAAATAATAAAGGAGAATTTCCCCAATCTGGCAAAGGAAATAGACTTCTAGGAAATCCAGGAAGCTCAGAGAGTCCCAAAGAAGTTGGACCCAAGAAGGAACACACCAAGGCACATCATAATTACATTAGCCAAGATTCAAATGAAGGAGAGAATCCTAGAAGCAGCAAGAGATAAGGGGACAGTCACCTACAAAGGAGTCCCCATCAGACTGTCAGCTGTCTCTTTCTCAAAAGAGATCTTACAGGCAAGAAGGGGCTGGAAAGAGGTATTCCAAGTCATGAAATCCAAAGACCTACAACCAAGATTGCTCTATCCAGCAAAACTTTCATTTAGAATGGAAGGACAGATAAGGTGCTTCTCAGATAAGATCAAATTCAAGGAGTTCATCATCACCAAGCCCTTATTACATGAAATGTTAAAGGGACTTATCTAAGAAAAAAAAGTTTAAAAAAACATGAACAGTGAAAGGACAACAAACTCACAGTTATTAACAACCACACCTAAAACAAAAGCAAACTAAAAGGACAGCTAGATCAGGAGTGGAAACATAGAAATGAAGATCTCAAGGAGGGTTAGCAACAGGGGAGTGGGAGGAGGAGAAGGGGGAGAAGGTACAGAAAATAAGTAGCATAGACAGTAGATAGAAAATAGATGGGGGGCAAGAATAGTATGGGAAATATAGAATCTAAAGAACTTGAGACACATGGTCATAAACTAAAGGGGGGTAATGGTGGGGGTGGGGGGGCAGGGTGGAGGGGAATGAAGGGGGGAATAGAACTGTAACAGCATAATAAATAAAAAAATTAATTAAAAAAAAAGAAAAAGGAAAAGCAACCTGAACACCAAAACAAGCAAAAAAGGAAGGATAATAAAGATGAAGGTAGAAATTACTGAAATGAAAACAAGGAAAAAATAGAGACTGCCAAATAAAATTAAGTTTTTTTCTTTGAGCCCTGGCTGGTGTAGCTCAGTGGACTGAGCACAGGCCCGGTTCAATTCCCAGTCAGGGCACATGCGTGGGTTGCAGGCCAGTTCCCTGCAAGGGCCACACAAGAGGCAACCATACATTGATATTTCTCTCCCTCTCTCCTTCCCTTCCCCTCTAAAGATAAATAAATAAAATATTTTTAAAAATTGTTCTTTGAAGCTAAACAACAAAACAAACAAGCAGAAAAAAAAAAAAAGACACTGAAATAGAGAACAAGGGGATAGTGACCAGAGGGGAGAAGGAAGGGAAGTTAAGGGGAAAAAGGGGAGGGATTTGGAGGAACAAATAGGAAGGACACAGGGACAAGAACTAAGGGGGGTGGAAATGGGAGGGAGGTGGGGAGCAAGGGGCGGGGGAGGCTGGGATGGGAAAAATAGACAAAAAACTGTACTTGAAAAATAACTAAATAAAATTAATTTTTTTTTAGTATCTTTTTTTTTTTTAGTTACTTTTCAAGGACATTTTTTTTCTCTCCCCCCCCACCCGATCTCCCCCCTCCCTCCCATTCCCCCCCAGTCCTCATCTAAATAAAATTAATTAAATTAAAAAAATTGTTCTTTGAAAAGACCAAAATAATTTTCACAAAGTGTTACTTTTACTGACCAAGACAAAAAAAAAGACACAAATTAACAAGATCAGAAATGAGACATCAGTACCAACCTTTCAATAATTAAAAGAATAGTAAAATACTTCGAAGACCTTTATGCTAGAAAATTAGACCACACAAGTTAATTGGGAAAACTCCTAGAAAGAGAAAAATTACTTAAGAAATGAAAATCTGAACAAACCCATAGCAATTAAAGAAACTGAAATAGTAATTTAAAACTTTCCATAAAGAAAAGCATAGAAAGGATGTGCTCACTGGAGAACTCCGAGAAAGACTGAAGGTGGAAACAGCAGCGATTCTTCACAAACATGTTCATAAAACAGTGGAGAAGGAACAAAGACCCGCCCCCGGAAAACCCGCAGACTGGTGCCCCCTCTCCACCCATGTATGAATGTAAAAATCTTGTACAAAACCTGAAACAAAATCTTTTTGAGAGGATGAAAATGTTTTGAACTTGAATTGCTGTCATGGAAGAATTAGTAAAAATGATTGAATTACTAAAAACCACTTGGAACAGCTGCATTCTGTGGTGTGAAAACTGTATCACAATAAAACTGTTACCAAAAAAATAAGAGTGGTCGGGAGAGGAGGGTCTGGGTAGGACAAAGGTCCCTGGCAGGATGTGAGTAGGGGTCAGGAGGGCACACAGGTAACTCTGTGTCAGGACAGAGGGAGGAGGTGAGTGCTGGGGCTCTGAGGGGGTGGAGGGTGAATGTAGACGCCTGGCCTCAGTGGGACATGGGGCTTGGGGGGGAGGGGCTAGGGAGCGCCGAGGGTGTGCAGGGTTTGTGGAGTATGCCTAGGGACCTGGGGGAAGGCGTGTGGGGAGTATGGAGCGTATGGGGTAAGCATGGTGCACAGAAGGGTGGGTAGAGGAAGCGCAGAGGTCATGGGGGTTGGGGCGCTGGACGTCGCACACAGTGAAGGCAGACAGAAGGGTCCAAGACCTCATGGCTCCGGGGACCTCCAGAAAGAACGGCTGGAGTGCATTCCTTGAGACCTCAGGCACAAGGCATCTCCTTCAAGTCTGGCCACAGGCTGTAGTCAGGGTGCATCTGGGTCAGGTCTAGCCTTATTCCATCCGCACCGCAGTGACGGTGCACGCTCTTCAATGGGGAGCTTACGGAACTCGCTAAATTGTCCCTTTACAAGTGAAAGGGGGAAGGGGCGGGGGCATGAGAAGCACACAGTGATTTAAAATCCAGCACTGTTCTGGCAGTCCAGCCTCTCTCTCCTGCTGACTCTGTGTGGAATGGGTGCTACTGCGCAGACTTGCTGTCAAATTAGCTAAGTAAAACACATGGAATGGGAACAAATGAAGACTGACCCTCTACCTTAACGCGATCCTGTGGAATGCCCAAGAAGGGGCAGAAGGGGGGGAAGAAACAGGACATTAGGGACAGACACCCACTCAGGCACAGCAGCTGCCTTTATGTCGCAGATTGTCCTTTTACCACACATCACGTGCTGGGATTGGAGCACTAACACACACCTGGGATGCCGCCACCCCCCCCCCCCCCCCCCCCCGCCCCACGCATCCTGGTGTTTCCTTCACAGCACTTGTCATGCTCAGGATGCTCACTTAAAAACTGTCACCTGGTGATGTTTATTTCAGAGGGGTGGGCAAGAATCATTGACTTGAGAAATATGTTGCCTCCTGCATTTGCCCTAAACGGGGAACCTGCAACCCTTTGGTGTATGGGATTCTCCAACCGAGCCACTCAGCCAGGGCCGGATGCTCATGTTTTAAACTGCTTTCCTCAGCCCCCCCCCCCCCGCCCTGCAGCCATGCCAGCACATCAGCTGGGGGGGGGGGAGGAGGGGGCAGGGGCAAGGCAGAACTTCTGGGCATGAGAACGTGGTAAGCTTGGAGCGCAATTATGGGACAGATGCCTTGGTATATGACCACATCTGACATCTGGCTCCCTATGTCCATCCAGCTATTTTCCTTGAGATTCTCATGACAGTCCCTGAGAACTGCCAAATATTACTGTGGAACTCACCCACTGCCAGTGCAGGGTGGGAGTCCCCACCCTCTGGGCCTCAGACCGGTACCAGTCTGGGTGTGGGTGTATTAAGAACTGGACTCCACAGGTCAGCTTCAATGTAATGTGCTCAAATCATCCTGAAACCATATCACCCCTCCCACGAAGAAACTGTCATGAAAACAGTCCCTGGGGCCAGTTTTGAGAACCACTGATATAACAGACACCCACTATTGGTGCAAAAAACACCAGCTGCTAATGAAGACACTGCTAAAGCAGGACAAGCTCACCCACATTTAAGAGATGCCCATTGCTAGTATTGGAGACTCAATGCTTGTTGGGACATGTCTTCCTAATCACTATGAGAGATTATCAGCTCTGTGATAATCAGCAGGATTTTTTGTTAACTGGTCTGTGGTTCCCTGAAAAGTGAAGGACCACCCTGTGGCCCACTGGCTCAACAGGTAGAACACATGCAAAGTACATTCGGCATGTGTGGATGGACATCAAATATGCTCATTTCTCCTGTCACCTGGTGATGGATGGCTGAGCATTCTACTCCAAACATCCCAGTCTGGCAACGGGAACATTTGGGCTGGAAGCAGTTGACAAGTAACAGATAATAGAGAAGCTACATACCCCTCTCCCCAGGAAGGACTGAGTCAGCATGAAGTTGGCTCTGGGAAATCTACAGAACCCCCTAACCAGCCTTCCTTACCCTCCCATGACAGAGGATGTAGAAGCCCAAGTGCTAAGCTGCTGCTGGTTACTCAGTTTCCCTGGGTTTCTTCCATGTGCATGAGGTGCATGTGTTAATAAACTTGGTTCTTCTCATTGATCTTTTATTACAGGGCCACAAACAAGGATCACATGGGTAGAGAGTATTTGCCTCCCCTCACACGGTTGTTCAGCTTTGCTCCGAGGCCACAGCCTAGGTGTCCAGCCTGCTGTTCCCAGGTGGTCATATGCTCCTATGAGCTCTCACCCTGTGGTTGTCCCACCTCATGGGTGGGTTCCAGTAGCCATTTGGGAAGTCCCCAACTTTAAAGTCCAAATATTGCTCCAGGCAGGAACCAACCAGTATCCTCAGATTCTCAACCCCATCCGAGGTCCAAGGGAGTGAAAGATATGGGCAGTGAACTTGGGGGGGTGGGAGAAGGGGAAACTTCCCGAGGCAGAAAAGTGGCAGACTCCTGGCTCCACAGAGAAAAACCTTCCATATATGTAATTTGAATGAATTATGAACATACATACATATACATACATAAAATAAAAGTCCAATGGGAGAAACAGTAAATAAATAATCGAGGAATTAGCTATTGCACACCATGGAACGTAGAATTTTCAACCAGGTTATTCAAAAAAAGAATTCTGTGGTAGCTGCATGAAATGACCAGGCAGCTGTTGTGTCCCCAGCTGCGCTATGACTGCTGGTCTTGGCCATAGACTCTCCTGCCCCCTCCTTAAGACAGTGGGATCACAGACAAGACGTGTTTATGTACTGTGAAAATAGTCCTTACAACAGGTAAAATCATCTTGGAGTGCAGAGATACTGCACCACGTCTTCGTGTGAAGCAGCACCGAAACAAGCCAAAACAAATCCCCGATTCTGTGAGGGAGAAGTGTGTGTAGCCTCACACCTTCCCCAGGCAGGGCCAGAGCACCTTTCCTGATCTAGTGCTCAGCTCTGAGGCAGAAAGGAGCACACTGCAAGAGCCTGGGGTAGTCCATGCTGGGGGGGGACTTGAGGTCCTGCACCCAAGGTCTTCAGCCCCCTTGTGCAGCATCTTTTCTTCCAAGTGCCCTTTCCCTGGCTTTTCCCACGTCCCCTCCTCTCCTGAGGACTGATGCATCTTGATTAATGAGGTAGCCACACCCAGCATTATTTTCTAGGACCAGACCCTGAGACTGTTGGTTCACCTCCCAGTCTGAAGCCTCACAGTATAGCAGCTCTCTGCAGGTGCAGCCCTGGGGCTGTTAAAGGCTCAGGCTGAAGCCCCAGAAAGTTCCACAGGCCCTGGTGCCTCACCTCTGACGAGCTGGGCTTGTGCAGAGCTCCCAGGACCCTTGGTCAGGCTCTGTACCGCTGATGGGGGTCTCAACACAGGATGGCCACAGAGGGTCCCCTGGAAGATGTCACAAGCCCTGCACATTTGCACACAGCTTCCTGGGAACTAGAGAGGGGGTTTACTATGCACGCAAGACAGCACTGGGAACTCGTGCATGGCTCAGGACACCCTTGGAGAGCCAAAGGCAGGACAAAGTCCTGAGAGGCCTGTTTACTAGGGAGCCATCCTATCCCCATGCCCTGCCTTGAGTTGGCAGATGGTCATGGGGGTAGGGCTGCTGGACAGTGGTGAGAAGAGGGCCCGCAATGTCCCTGAGAAAGGTGTCTGGGGGAAGGCATATAGGAGTGACCCGTCAGTGGCGCTGTAAAATGCCAGGTGCCCAGCCTCATAGTCCAAGAAGATGCCCACACGCCGGGGTGGGTCTCGCAGGGGGGCAAAGGCTCGCTCAGAGGAGTTGTAGGAGCCACCCAGGAACACCAGGATCCAGAACCCATTGCCGGCGAAGAGCTCGCCTTTCTCTTTGCGGTTGGCATTCTCTCTGCAGACACCCAGAGCCCAGCTGGCCCGCTCGCCCACCTCCACCTCCCAGTAGTGGCGGCCAGAGCTCAGGGGCTCCCGGCCCAGTACGCAGGGCCCGGGGTCAAAGCGTTCAGGGCTGTCAGGCAGGGGCTGCCGCAGGTCCCCTCGCCGCACACTCTGCATGTCCTCCGACAGGACCAGCTCAGGGTTGGCAGTGTCAGGATCCAGTGTTATGTCTCCTGCAGATACAGCAGTGGTCACCTCTTGGGCCCCTTCCACCAACCTGCATGAGGTCTGCTCTCAAATATCCTTGTAGCTAACTAGAGTGACTGGCTGTAAAATGACTGCTCCCCTTCCTGTGTCTTCCTTGGAAAGTTCACCTCACCACTCAACTGCAACTCAGGATGTTCTGGAAAGTGGCCCCACACTGCCTTGCCATTCATTATCCTGAGATTCAGGAGGAACCTGAGGGCTTTCTATGCCCACTCTTCTAGTCCCCAGTGTTCTAACACAGCTTTCATATTGGGCTCCCAGGCCCAGGGCCCACACAGAGGCCCTGACACTTGAGGGACTGACTCCCACTTTTCCTAAACACACCAGGGCAGCCACTCCCTCTGGACCAGAGCTGTCTGGCCACATACCCCCACCACACACCACAACACCCACCTTGGAACCTCCGCAGGGCCTCCACCAGCCCTGGGACCCTGCACACTGTCCTCATCTCCATGGGCACCACCTCGGGCGGCTGCAGCTTCACATCCTGGACCCTGGAGGGGCAACCAGGCATCACCCCAAGCGCAGGCCCCCCCTGCACCCGACCACCTTCCCTAGGGAAAGGCTGGGCTCCTACCTGTGCAGGGTATCCATGATGTCCTGTGGGAGAGACATGTGGTGTTAGTGCTTGTCACATGATCCTGGCCCCACCTCTATGCTCCAGTGTCCCCCACTCCCCGCACATGGTCCAACTGTCGCTGGTGTCAAATGTGTTCAGTCATGGGGACACTGAGAAGCTGAGATGCAGCCAGCCCTGCAGACCCAGCCCCATTCCCTTAACGAGGGGTGTTTGGCTCCCAGCTCACCCACCCAGAGCCTGGAGTATTCTCAGGTGCTGGTACAGGCTGGGTGGAGTCTAAGCCTCTGGGGAAGGGGACCAGCTCTACCCCAGCTGGGAGCCTGGCCTACATGTGCCCAGTGTTTCCTGTTTCCTGGCAGCCTCACCTGGTCCTGCACCCTGTCCAACCCCAGGCACCCATCCGGCCTCCATTAATGGCCCAACTTTCAGATGCAGCCCCTTTGCCTAGGTGCTCCTCTCCCAAATCACTGCATGAGTGCATTTTACTCAGTGTCTTCGGCTGACTATAGCCCCTACATCTAACTGTTGGAGCCCCAATACCCAGGGACTTGAACTGGGCTATATTTGGAGACTGGGCTTCTTAAAGAGGCTATTAGGTTGAAATGATGCCACTAGGGTGGGCCCTAATGCTTGTGACAGTGTCCTTATAGGAAGAAAACATGAGGACACAGACACACACAGAGGGACGACCATATGCAGACACAGGGAAGATGGTGGTCTACATACCAGGGAGAAAGGCCTCAGGAGAACCAGCCCTGCCCACACCTGGATCTTATATTCCAGACTCCAGGACTGGGAAAAATAAATGTCTGTCACTTAAGCTACCTGCCTGTGGTTTTTGTTACACAGACTGAGCTGACAGAGACACTCCGTTATTTGGAATGGCAGCTCCCGGCAGCAAATAGCTTATCTTTTTCTTTTCTCTTTTTTAAAGCTTTTATTTATTTATCTTTAGGGAAGGGAAGGAGAAAGAGGGAGAGAAACACAGACGTGAGAGATACATCGATCAGTTGCCTATTGCACATGTCCTGTCCAGGGATCGAACCAGGCAACCCAGGCATGTGTCCTGACTGGGAACTGGTGACCTTTGTGGGACACCCCCCTGCTCCCCCCAAACCATATTGTCAGGATTTATCTGTCTTTTTTTAGAGCACTGCCTGGGAAATGGCAGGGACCCAGTCCACTTTGTCAATCAAATGAATCCCAAAAGCGGTCATTCTAACTGCACTGTACACCGCTACCAGGCCAGACAGCAGGACGCAGAGACAAGTAAGATGTTGAGCCCAACAAGGACTCCTTTGGCAGGGCAAGAGATTTCACACACAGTAGTTCTGTCTGGGGGACATGGAACCTGCCAGGTTTCAAAACACAAGGGTGACTGGTGAGTTTCTGAAGCCCGAGGATTCATGAGGAGATAGTGCAGGCCTGGGAGAAGCATGTGCAAAGGGCCTGGGTTGGGCTGGGTACAAAGCAGTTAGGAACAGCCATCTTGTTTGCTGCTGGGTGCTGGGAAGCAGGGCACTCTTGGCTGTCACAAGGCCTGGGGCTGCCCTCACCACTCAGGAGAGGGATGGAGTAAGGGCCCCTCTGTCCAGGGGCAGGGTCGGGGGGCCTGGCCAGTTGACCTCTGTGAAGACCACTTGGCCACTCTGGGCAAATCGGATACGTGTTCTATTAAGAAAATGATCTGTTCCCATGGAGAATGGCTGGGGGAAAGCCTGGAGGGACACCCAGGACTCTAGACTCAAGTGTAGCTGGGGCCTTGGGTGGTAGTCGATTAAGTTACCCAACTTTTCACTTCCTTCATCCCCCTCATGGAGTTCCTGGACAGGTGCCAACAGCAGTTCTCAGTAGGGTTCAGGATTCGTATCCATTATCCAGCCACGCCCACAGGGACCTGCAGTCGTACCTGGGATACTGATCCTGTCCTCACCACAGTTCTTCACAGGTAAGACACAGAAGGTCCAGAAGTGGCCAAGGTCAGGTGGCTTCCTCTGCCCAGGGCTTCCTCTTTCCTGCCAGCACCCTATCCTGGCATCCCATCTGTTCCAGCCCATGTTCCCACTCTAGGCACGGTTACCTGTAGCAGCCCCAGTGCTGGCAGCTGGCAGCGCCCCTCCAGCTCGGTGACAAGATCGGCTAGCTGGGCACTCTGTTGCCCAAGGCGTGCAACGCTCTCCTGCAGCGGGGGCAGTACCTCCAGCTCCTCCTCCTCCAGCCTCTGCAGCAGCCGTTGCTCTTCCTCCACCAGCAGGCAGCGCAGCCGCTCAAACTCTGTGCGCACGTTCTGCCGCTGGGTCTCTACCATCTTCTGTGTGAGGCAGAGGGGGGTGGTAAGCTGCCAGAAACCCACTACCAGGCCCCCCACCCAAAGCCACCATGGGGTGGTTGAGGGTCTGGAGCAGGAGTGATGCCTTATGAGAAACTTAGTGTGAAGGGCGGGTGGTACCCAGCAGTGGGCACACTAGTGCCCCACCCCTCCAGCCCTGAGACCCAGGCACCCAGCCACCTGCCTGCCACAGTACACAGATCTCCTTTGCCTGGGCCTGAAACAGCAGTGCGTCCTCCAGTTGCTTCTGTAGGTGGTCCAGGGACTTCTCCAGGTTGCCCTGCAGGGAGGTAAGGCCAGCTGGTGACCCCACTCAGCCCCAGCCGAGCCTAACTTGACAGATGGGAGCCAATTGTGGGAAACTATCTAGGACACAAAGGACAGAGCAAATTGAACCTGCCAGGAGTTTTGCTTGCTCATGGCATGACCTCCAGCCTCCCAGGCCAATCTGGCCCCCTTGCCTGTTTTTAACTTTCTTCTACCTTTCCTCACTTCCCAGCAACCTCTCTAGCCTGACTTCCTACTGCATCACAACCTTCTTTCCTGCATATCCCTTTGCTTCTGTGCCTGTCCAGGGCCTGCCAAGGTTCAACTTCACCAGGAGAAACAAAGGGATACTCGATCTGGCTGCCCTGGGCCTGACCTCAGGCAATACCCTACACTGTTGACTACAACCCTATTTACCACTGATTCACTGGGGCATCCCCAGCATTAAGACAAAGTGGGCACCAGGGCAGTAGATGCAGGAAGAACCCTCTACCTTCCTCCTTTCTGCCTAAAGGCAGGACATGAATATCCCATGAGAAGGGTGGTCTCCCTGTACCAGGAAGGGGACACATTCCTCACCAGAGATGAGGTGTCATTGTGAGTATGCCTGAACAGACCTTACTAAAAGTTGATCCTCCAGTGGTTCCCCTATATATTTCCTACTTTCTTTTCCACAAGTTAATGGCCCTAGAAGCCCAACCCATGTCCTTTGCTACTCAGTTCTCCACAATTTATCATTCTCTCTCAAAATGGAATATAAACCCTTGAGTCTAATCCCTGATTTTGGTTTTTTAATTTTCTACGAACTCATGCCACCTAAAATTTAAGACTAATAAAACTGTCTTTCCAGCTATTAACCTGTCAGTTGTCAGATTTATTTGCAAGCCTCAGTCATGAACCTAACAGAGTAGAGGAAAAGGTTTCTCCTCCCCTACCATGGGATTAAGTGCTGCCCTCTGAGACTATCCAATCAGCTAGAAGGAGCCTCTGGAGAGGTGCTAGTCACTCTGCTCTCACAGTCACTTTTGCACCCTGATCAGGGTGCTGGTGAAAGAAGTGCAAATGTGCTGAACATGAGCAGACAATCCTGTGTGCATGTTAGTACCTCAAACTGAAAGGAAAATCAGCAAGACAGGCTCACTGATGTGGATTGGGTAATAGGTTTATTCTGGTGCCCCATGAGCTTGTTCTATGACAGTGACCAACTGGCCAGGTATTCATTCTAACACTGACTAAACTCTTACATAGCACAACTAGGCAAACACAGGCTACCAGCTGTGATGCAAAATGCAAACCCATGCATCAATACCTGGGTTCCAGGAAAAAACCCTTCACAGGCAAAGGCCAGGTGAGCTAGGTGAGCCAGGTGAGCTATTTGTCCTGAGGCCCCCAGCAGAGGGGGTAGGGAATGCTGGTGTGGATTTGAAGGAAATACATTTCTACAACAGACAAACAAGGCTTCTCATCCTGGGGTCCAGACCCAGCTGAGCTCTGGTCTGTCAGATGACAGTGGCGGCCCCAAGTACTCCACTCTGAAAGCCTGATGGGTCCTGGTGTCTGCCTCCTAGGGCAAAGGCTCTGTCCCGCATTGTTCCCAATGTGGGGCTCCGAGGTAGATCCCTGCCTGCCTCCCACAGACTCTTCTTACCAGGACTTCTTCTAACCCCCACCCAGGCCCCTGGCCGCATCATACCCTCCCCCCCCCCCACAAATGACAGTCCTCATTCGTCCCTCCTGAGGGAAAGCCGCCTCAGGTTCTCTGCCCACTTTTTCCTGGTCTGTACTACATTCCGGCTACTGTTCAGTCACACCTGCCAGTACTGGCCCCAGACGGTGGGCCCTCCCACTGTCACCCGGGGACCTCGGCCTTAAAGAGAATGCCTCCTTCCCCCAGGTCCCCACGCTGGTTCCCCACTGGTGAGCGGTGCCCCAGCACCGCAAAAGTGCCGGTCTGGTCAGGCTGAGCTCCCCGCAAACCCCAGGCCAGGCCGCATTCTCCCGGACCACAGCCAGGCTGCGCAAAACCCACCCATAGCAGGCCACATCCCTGCCCCGGCCCTCGTCGCGCACCTTGAGGTCCTCGGCTGCGTCCTGCAGTGGGCGTACGCGGTGCGTCCAGTGCTCCCCGGAGCGCTCGCAGGCCGCGCACAGCAGGCGCAGCTCGTCAGCGCAGAAAGACGCCAGCGGCTCCCGGTGCGCAGCGCACACGCCCTGCGGGACAGGTGACGGCGGGTGCAGGCGCCGCGCCATCTCGGCCATCTTGGCGACAGCACGGTTGGGCCGCAGATTCCGCTGCGGGGACAGCTCACGGCACTCGGGGCAAGCGTATGGGCCCTCGGGCTGGCCCCAACAGCGTCGAATGCACTCGCGGCAGAAGTTGTGGCCACAGTCTGTCATCACCGGGTCTGTGTAGTAGTCGAGGCAGATGGCGCAGGTGGCCTCCTCCTGGAGGTTGGTGGACACGTCGGTGGCGGCCATGGCGCCGGGGGACAGAGGAAAGCGGCGCTCTCCGCTGGGATTTTAGGGAGCTTGGTGGAGACCGGGGGCACTCTGGAAACCTGCGGGCGCGGGGCCTCTGGTAACAGGAGACGCAGGAGACACCGAGCGCCGCGGCTCCCGAATGCGGGAAGGAAGAAAAACCGTAGCGGAAGCCGGAAGCAGCTTTTTTTTTTTTTTTTTTGAAACCAGCTTTAGTCTCGGATTGGTTGTGTTCTGTCACGCGGCCCGCAGGCGAAACCGAGTTGGAGGCTGCTGGCCCGCTGACTTAGCGTCTATGCTGTCGCCCACCTGCGGTTTTTGTGGCTCCTGCTGGCTCAGCTGTAGCGCAGCCTGGCCACTTCCTCAGGTTCGGGTAAGGATGGGGTACAGCGGCCCGGCCAGCGGGGCGCCCCGCACAGTCACTGGGGTCTCGGCGCGGTGCGGCGACCAAAAGGCCTAGGCTGGCCCGGAACCGCCCCCGGGTGCCCTCTGGCGGGTGTCTGAGGTAGGACACAATGGGGAGGGGCTGTGTCCCTGGGGATTCTGGTCTTGTTGGGGAAGGAGTGCGTGACTGGAATGCTGGGGTGCTAGTGACCGTTACAGGGCTGTTAATGCACCTGAAACTGTGAGGGTGGGGTAGGGAGTGAAAGGAAAGGACACCCCCCCCCAAACACCTGTAATCCTTATTTTCTGAATTTTACTCCCGCCCCCCTGCAAGTGCAACTTAAGCGAATGATGGGGTGGGTAGCTCTAAGGTTTTTATGGGTTCAGCTTGAAAAGTCACTTTCTTCTTTCTCCTGTGAAGGGCCCGTACATGGAATTGCTGATGACAGGGAAGGTGAACCCCTCAGGCCACAGGTTAATCCAAACTCAGCGGCCCCAGTGAGTGGTGGTGGTGGGGGATATGACTACAGAACTACAGCTCACTGGCCTGGTTTGTAGGTATGTACTCAGAGACTGAGTTACCTGTATGAGGCACCTGGGAATACAATCTCAACATTTAATTACTTTAATCACAATTAGATTCCGGCACCAGGAGCCCCCTGGAACCACCATGGGTCTCCACCCAAGTAAGTGTGGCCGGTGGCCATGCTGAGCAGGAACCACCTCACCCTCTGCAGGAATCTCGTGCCTTCCCTCCCTGCCTGCACACCTATCCTTTCACCCACAGCGTCACTGTAGAGATGACCATCTGGCCGGATTTGGGGGCCCCGAGGCAGAAGAAGGGCTGCAGGGGGCCTGGGAAGGCAGACTGTGCATAGGTGTGCAAGTGGGACCCACCACTTGCATTGTAGAAAGACACCTCCCCAGCCTCAAAGTCCAGGAAGATGCCCACATGGCTGGGGGGCTCTGTCAGTGTGATGGGGGGCAGGGTGGACATGGGGGGCACGTACTTCTTTCCCTTGCACAGCTGCACCACCCAGAATCCATTTTCAGGGGACTTGGGGACCCTATCCTTCCGGCTGACATTGTCTCTGCATACACCCAGAGCCCAAAGTGCATCCCCAGTGAGGTTCATGCCCACCTCCCAGTAGTGCCGCCCTGAGCAGAAGGTCTGGTGGCCCACTGCACAGGGGTAGGCCAGGAACCTGTCTTTGCTGCAGGGCATGCCTTCTGGTGGGCTACTGAGGTAGCACCTCTGGCGGCTCTCATACAGGAGGAGGTAGGGATACGCCGTGGCAGGGTCAGGCACCACATTCTCTGCAGACAGGTGCAGCAGCAGGGATGGGGGTGAATCATTCCTATTCTCCCTGACTGCCCCTTCCCAGTCCTCCCCTTGGCCAAGTTCTGCTATGAGCCTGGGTCCCTGCCTGGGCCCCAGTGATTGATATTGGTGGTGCCAAGGAGATGAGCTGGGGGCCATTTGGGCATCTCCTGGGAGTGGCCAGTAAGGGTAGTGTGTGAACAACCAGTGAATGTCATGGCCCCCAGGGGTGGCCCCAGCTGAGAGAACAGGCCCCACATACCTTGGAAGCTCTTGAGCACTTCTATCTGCCCAGGGACTCTGCAGACAGTTCTCAGTGTGATGGGGGTGGCCTCTGGGTACTGCATACTCACGCTGTTCCTGCTCCAGAAGGGACAGGTGTGCTGTCCCCTCTGGCCACACGCAAAGCCCTCCCTGCCATATCAGGTGGTCATCTACCTGCCCAGTGACTCCTTCATATCCTGCGAAAACAGGGAGAGCCATGATGCCTCGTTAGGAATGTGGGGCATCCCCAAGCTCCCTGTGTGGACATTTCTGGTTTGTGGAGCAAGAATTTGTAATGCTTTCCCATGACCTCTTCCAGTTTCTTGAGTGGATCCCTATCTCTTGGTTGCCCAGGCTTCCTGCTGCTCCCCTGCATGGGAGTGTGAACACAGAAATTGTCTTGCTTTCAATGGCAGGGAACACCTAATAAGAGACCCAAGGGTGCTCTCACATTGCAGGCCTGTACTCAGGAGTGTTTAGGAGGTGGTGAACAAGCTGCTTTTTACTAGAAGACCAAGTATTCCCCAAAGTTGGGGCAAGTGCATAGTCTGTTAACTAAACCACGACACTTACTGGGGACAAAACCCAAGATAGCAGGATAACAGGCGTGAAATGGGCTGACGTTGCACATGGCATTGCTTCAGTTGTATAAATATACTGAGTGTGTGATGGCTTACAATGTGAGATATATTTGTTTTGCAATGGGTCCTGTCATTCCACACAGTTGATGAGCCAGTTACCCACCTGCTGGGCAACCCAGTCTCTCCCACTTCCTAGACCTCAGAATGCAGGCCCAGCCCCAACACCTTCTCCTGCATTCCAGATCCTCTCAAATGGGTTCACATGACTTGCTCCTGCCTTGAATTTACCAGGCCTGAGATGGCTGGTGTGTCCCTGCCTCACATCAACATGTGCATGACAGCTGCCCCTGGGCTACAGCTCCTGGACTAGGAGTGAATAGAAGAACACAGGTGTCTAGAACCACAACCTGCCAGGCTGATTGTGTCCCCCAAGTCCACATGTTGGAACCCAGCTCCTGGGACCTCAGATGAGGCCGTATGTGGAGATGGGGCCTTGCAGAGGTGTTGAAGGTGAAATGAGGTCCCTAGGGAGGGCTGTAATCCAGTGTGATTTGGTGTCCTTAGAAGATTGAGATGAGGGATGGTCATATGGTCAGAGGGATGACCATATGAAGACACAGGTAGGAGATGGCTATCCAGACACCAAGGAGAGATACCTCGGGGAAGCAGTTCTGTCCCCACCTGGATCCCTGCCTTTCAGCCTCCAGGACTGTGGGAAATAAATATCCTTTTAAGCCCCCAGCCAGTGGTATCTGTTACGCAGCCCTGAGCTGACAGAGCCTTCCCTGTTGATGTCTACTTGCCCCAGCAGGCCAACCACACCCAGCCAGAGCCTGTGCCCCCCCACCCTGCAGTCAGCTGAGCAGGTGCTCCTCACTCGTAGCATTTGCAAGGGCTCCTGCTTGCTACGGTCCTCCAGCTGCAGCAGCAGTGTCTCCAGGGAGCAACTCTGCTCCTCTAGTGCAGCCATACTCTGCTGTAGTCTGGCTGCTGTATCTTCCTCTTCCTGCCTCAGGGCCTGCAGGAGGTGCTGCTCCTCCTCCACCAGAAGGACAGCCATCTTCTTAAACTCCATCATGACGCGTTGTCTCCGTTCCTGCACCTTCTCCTGCAGGGTAGGGGTTGGAGGTGAGGCATTTCCATGGGGACTGCCACCCTGTGTCCACTCATGCCCATCACCTTGGAGGGGCCACTTCAGGGATGCTGGCATGTCTCTCTGGGCCGTGATCCACAGAAAACTAGCACAGCTGGCAAGGGTGCAGGCACACAGAGCCCCCATCACTGTGTGGTGATAATATGGGCCCCAAATGACCGCCTCCAGGCCTCTGTTCCTCTCAGTCCCTGCGTCTCCAAAATGGCCAGTCTGGGCTGAGTACACATATTCAGTCCTGATTCTAGGGGGAGTTCTGTGCCTTTCCTGGGTCCTGTGCTCTTGTTCACATGTGGCAGTGAGTCCCATATCAAGGGTCTGCAGGTACTGGAGGCCCTGTGGTGCCCTGTGGTGCCCTGGGGCCTGGCCAGGCTTTCCCGCTGGCTCCTCACCAGCACTTGCCTGCCACTCGGCCAAGGCCTGTTGCTCCCTCGTCTGCAAGTTCTGTGTCTTCTCCATCTCCTCCCGCAGGTGCTCCATGTCATCCTCCAGCTTCAACTGTGGACAACAGACCAGGGGCTGGGGGTTAGGCCCCTGTACACCCTATCGGGAGGTACCCTCTGAAGCTGCATCCTAAGGGGGATGGAAATATACCACCCCCAAATATGCCCCTTGGGCAGGAGAATTATTTTGAGCTGGAGGCAAATGAGAATCAACAGATGTAGAAATGCCTTCTGTGGTTCCCAATATGTGACTAAAAGAAACTGCCGAGAACTAAGGGCTGCCATGAATCTCCCTTCCAGGGAAGTGTTATGGCCATGAAGGAGGTAAAAGTGGGTATCAGGAGGGACCTACACTGATGAACCCTATCTTTAATTAGTTTCTCCCAAATATTTATATTCTGTCATGATCTGAATGTTCATGTTCCTTCAAATTAACAGGTTACAACCTAACACCCAAGGCATAGGAGGCGGGGCTTTGGGGAGGTGGTGATGGCACCAGTGGGGAGCCCTCAGGAATGGGTGGGGTTAGTGTCCTAGTGAGACCTTAGCGCTCCTAGCCCCTTGTTCTGTGTGAGGACAACGAGAGAAATCTGTCTGTGAACCAGGAAGGGGCCCCATCTGACTCTGCTGGTGCCATGATCTTAGACTTCCAGGCCCCCAAACCATGAGCTCTCTGGAATTCTTCCTGTTTATAAACCACCAGGTCTTGAGTTCTGTGACAGCAGCCGGAATGAACCAAGACACCTTCCCAGTTAGCTCCCCTTGGGAGCCCGTTGCCTTTCCCTTTGTCTTCTCTCCAAATGTATTGTTCCTTGTTCAGACGCTAGACAAGCCCAAGTTCTAAAACCACCTGGTATTCACTGCTGTGGTTTCTTCCCTGTGAAGTACATGGGCTACACATGTTAACAGTTTACCTTTCTTCCCTTGATAATGTCTTTTTTCAGTCTAATTTAAGATGGAAGGAAAAGATTTTTTCTTCCCCTACAGGAGGTCACCTGGCCTGCCTATACAGACAGCTTCTAAGCCACTTTGTCAGCCTGGGCTCCTGAATGCTCCTGGGAGAGGATGCCCAGCTGGCCAGCCACCTGCCAACTTTGTTGTAGGGGTTGCAGACACTTCCACCATGGGGTCCAGTGAACGGGGCTGTTTGTTATAAGGTTCATTCTCTTGTCTGACTGACTGTGCTTGACACATGTGCCCTTAGGCCTCATTGGCCCCTTGCAGCCCCTCATCCCTGGGCCCACCTTGTGCTCCTGCACAGCCTCTTCCACTGGGACCACCCTGTGGGCCCGGTGTTCCCGAGATTCCCTGCAGACCACACAGATGGGGCTCTGGTCGTCTTCACAGAAGAGTTTGAGGAGTTCCTGGTGCACCTTGCACAGGTCCCTGCTTTGGAGGCCTGGGTGCTGCCGCGCCATCTCGGCTACCTTGGTCAACAGGCGGTTGGGCCGCAGGGTCCTCTGTGGGGACAGCTCACGGCACTCAGGGCAAGGGAAAGTGCCCCTGCGCTTCCTCCTGCCCTTCTTGCCTTTGGCTTTCTCCCAGGTCAGCCGGATGCACTCGCGGCAGAAGTTGTGGCCACAGGTGGTCATCACAGGGTCGGTGAAGTAGTCGAGGCAGATGGAACACGTCGCCTCTTCCTGCAGCTTTCTGGCAAGTTCCATGGCATCCATGGCCCCTGGGAAGGAAACAGAGCATCCCGCCACACCCTCTGCCCAGAGCTCCAGGCACTTGAGCTGTCCGTCCTCTTAAAGGGGGCTAAATACGGTCCTGTTGGGGTACCTGAATTGTCTTCAGTGAGAGGCACAGGTGCCTCTTGAAGCTGACAGAGGGCCTTTCCACAGCCAAACCAGCCAGCTCCCTGAGCTGCCAGGCTCTGCCCAGTCACGCCCAGTTTTATTCCACTTGGAGCCCTGGCACCCACTGAGACTTACGATCTAATCCAGCACCCCCCATCTCCCCCTGCAGGATGAACGTGCAGGAATCCTGCTAGGCCAGTTTGGCAAAAAGATCCCTCCCCATCTTTCTTCCTAGTGATTTTCCATCACTAACTCCCTTTCCACTGATGCCCTTGGCCACTCATCCCCAGTGACTGGGCTGAATTCACAGATGGCCCCATCTTCCTATTGCAGTAACCTTGAATAAAGTCTTCCTTACCAGTTGAACAAGTGTCAGAATCAGTTTCTCTTTAACAGGACATCCATGCGAAAAGGGAACTCTAAGAAGAAAAATCACAGTTATCTGCTTGATCAAACTCTGCTCAGGCTCCTAGAACTTTCCAGTCAGGCCCTGGGCTTTTGTGTTTCTCTGCATTGTCCAAATTTAGTAAGAATCCCAATCTGTGGGTTTAGACAGAAGCTCCCTACCCAGATGTTTCCTCTAAGTAATTTCATATCCCCAACCCCATCCTGCTCCTGGGCCATAAATCCCCACTGGCTCACCCTCAGTTGAGCTATTCAGAGTTGAGCTTTCTATGGGTTTCTATGTTATTCCCCTTCTGCAATAGTCCTGAGTAAAATGTTTCTACAGCTCTATGTCAACTCTGGCTTTCTTTGCAAGATGTAGTGCAGAAAAGGCACACAGTTTTTCATGCATGTACACAGTACATATGCACACGTACAGGCACACAAACACATGGGCAGTGCATATGCACAACATACATGCACACACTTTGGCATTTGAATACCTACATCCTTATCTGGTGCAGATTCAAAGCCTCCCTGTGCATCTCATAGGGCAGTCACTGGATGAGTCAGAAGATCTGAAAGTCATTTCTGAACCACAGCAGTATCTGGACTCCCTTTCCTGCCATCACCCAGAGTGATGGCTCAAATTCCAGACGGTGTGAGTTCACTTTGTGGAAGCTGGCTCTGTGCAGAGCCCTTAGGGTCAGTCTCGCCTCTGCTGCTCACCCACCTGAAGGCACAGGAGAGCCTGCTGGTCATGGTCTCTGGTTCAGGCTCGGGAAGCCAGCCAAGGAGTCTGGGTCAGTGACAGTGGACAAGGCGTCCTCCATCCCAGGGAGCTCCTGTGTAATTCCGGCTAAACAAGGTGGCCCTTCTGGTTCCAACTGATAACTACCTTCAAAGCCGGGACCCCAGGGTACCGGACTGGGCGACCACCCGCCCGCCCACCTCTGGATGGACTGGCACTTACCGGGGAGACGGGTACATGCCGCTGTGGATAGCGAGCGCAAACTGGGCCCAGAAAAGCCTGCGCTTGTGCCTTGGAGACTGTCAAGGGTGGGAGGTGTCGGTGGTGCGGGGCACGGGCTTTGTGGCGTCAGCAGGGGCGGAGAGGCTGCGGGGGATGAGTGTGCGCGCTCGGTTGCAGGGCGGGGGGGCGGAGTTACGGTGCTCCGAGCACCCAGGAGATAGAGACCTGAGCCTCTAGACCGGCAGGAACGGGAATGGACTTGGCCAGGGGTGAAAGGTGGAGGAATAGTGCCCTGGATAAGGGTGGGGTTTGGGGCAGACCAAAGCGGATGGGCCAAGGTGGAAAGGGACTGGAGCCTTGTCCCGGGATGCGGGTAGAAGACTTGAGAGGCAGGGCGCAGGCACCTGTTCATGACCGAGAAATTCGGAGGATGAGGAAAGAGAGCTTGGGAGGAGGGGGAGCGTTGGGAGGGAGGGAGTGGAAAGGGCGCAGAAACCGGCGCCCGGTTGGGGAGGTGACGGTGGTCGTTGGGAGAGGTGATGAGGGTCTCAGGCCCCAGGAGACCCCAGGAGCACCGGGTGTGGGGAGAGGGCCACGACCGGCCCCCCGGGTTAGGACAGGCAGGCCGGGTTTAGAGGGGTACCGGGCAGGGCGGGGGCCCTGGGGTATTGCCAGAGCCTAAAGATGGGTTTTGCTGGGTCACTGCCTCCCCCAGCACTAACCTAGCCATGGATGCTGGCTGCACGCACCCCAAGCCCTTGGGGATCGGCACACGAGGAAACTAAGTTTCAGGCTACGACGGGCATCCTCTCCTGGGAGTGCGGGTGTAGACGACCAGGCTGGACGACCAGACGACGAGTGTGTGTGTGTGGCGGTGGGGCGTGGGATGGAGGGTAGAGGGTAGACGGCTGCTTTCCAGGCTCCAGGGCTTCACTGGAGCTGGGTGTTTCTTTTGCTCTCTTTTTTAAAGATATAATTGATGGGAAGGGAAGGAGAGAAATATCAATGTATGGTTGCCTCTCACGCGTCCCCTGCGGGAAACTGGCCTGTAACCCGGGCATGTGCCCTGACTGGGAATTGAACCGCATCCTTTGGTTCACAGGCCCGCACTCAATCCACTGAGCTACGCCAGCCAGGTGGGTGTTTTTTGAGTGGTGCCTCCTTACTATCCTAGACGGTGTCCCAGAAAGAGGGACCATCGTTTGTTAATTGCAATGCCCTGACTCACTTTTGCATGGGAAGGAATTCTGGGCTGAGGGTTTCTTTCAATCTAGAAAAACTTCAAAACAAAAATTCAAGAGAACACTGGACTCTATATTCGAGGAAGGATGCAAGATAAACTGGAATTTATTTATAAGAAATTGTATATTTATTCTTACATGTTTAAACGTCAGTTACCTTCAAAGTACTCTCCATTTTATTAAATACACCATTCAAACGTTTTTTTCACTGCTCAAAACAGTTTTTGAACTTGTCGATGTTGATGCCTTTTAGTGCTTCGGCCAGTTTTTGTTTTACCTCTTCCACATCAACAAAACATTTCCCTTTGAGGACCTTTTCATCTGGGGAAACAAACAAAAAAAAGTCATTCAGGGCAACATCCGGTGAATAGGGAGGGGCGGGGCACAGGGAAGGTGTGGGGATGTGCTGTTTTGGGCCAAAAACTGATGACCACTCAGCATGGTGTGGGCAAGTGTGCTTGTAAATCACCCTTAATGAAATGAACAAAGGCATTGAAAGAGTCTTTAAAAAAAACCACAACAAATTATTGAAGCCTAACGCAGCCTCTCGCAGCAATGCCAGCTGGCACACTGGTACAGATGGGCTCCTAGAACGCTCAGCCAGGGCCTGTCCTACAAGGGGACCATCCTCCAGAAGATAATCCTGGTTTTTTGGCGGTCCCCCCTCATATAAATTGTACAGATTGGTATTTCAGTTTATTTGCTTCATTTGTCCGATTCTTTAGTCTTGTCTAAAGAGTAACAAAACAAAACAACAACAAAAAAAACAGTTATCACCAGATTCACCTCTCCATGCTTTTGCAAAGGAGAGGAAAATTCCTCCACCTGACAGACCTAGGCAGGCCTAGGAGGAGTGGAAAGTCACCAGACAGGAAACTGCACCGTGGGAAACTGCCTGCAGACGTTGCCAGAACAAAAAGATGCTCGGTTAAGATTGGGGCCTGGGGTCAGCCTATCTGGCACAATAGAATGCAGCTTTAACCCAAGGATAAGTTGTATCAAGAACAATGGTCAGCAAAAATGGCAATCAGTAATGTTCTCTAGCCAATGAGACTCTGACACCCCAACTAATTACCCTTCGTGGGTATTTTGCACTTAAAAACCCTGTCCTGAGAACAACCCAGCAAGTCTTATCCTCTCTTGGTTGGCTTCACTTCCCCTCTTGTTCCCTCCCTTCTTGGCTCGCTGCATCTGTTTGGTTTCTTGAGCGACTCCAACCTGTCACCACCCTCTTGGTTCAGTGGCTGGGGTCTGCTAATTAACGAAAGCCTGATTGACAGGAAAAAACTGGTTTATATGTATTTGGGTGTCAACAAAGGAAGCAGTGGCTTGTTAAACATTTAAAGGCTTATATAGAAAACTTAGGAAAAAGGAACGGGGAGAGAAGGCCTCTATGGGAAAAACAAATAAGCCTCTAGGCAAGACAAAAGGGTTTTGGGGAGAACGGAGGACATAAGAAAGTGTGGGATTATGTTTGCACAGCTGTATGAGACCTTTCCACCTCCTTCAGGGCCCCAAGACTGCCCCTGGGAGGGGGTTATGGCAGCCTCATTTCCCAGAAGCTGCTGCTTTTACTCAGATAAGGAAAGCTCCCAGAAGGCTTTCTTCTGTAGCTGTTTGGATCCCAAATATCTTCACCTTCAAGTAATATTTATGGTAATTCTGTAGTTCAGAGTGGGCCCCACACTCTTACTCATCTCTAAAACTGGGGTTGTTTCTTACATAACTACAAGGCTTTGCCTCTCACAACTGACAATGATTTCTTCTTTTATCTGGCCTGTAGTTCATATCAAATTTCACCTATTATCAAAAATGTTTGTTTTAAAAGTTGGTTTGTTTCAATCAGGATCCAAACAAGGT